TTCTGGTTCTCACAGCTGCGGATGGGAGAGATCACCAAGGGAATTGGAGGTATTGTTCAGCACTGACTGCAGCTTCCATTGTTGGACGCTGATTGCAGCTTTTGTTTCACTATAAAGTACAGTTATTAAATGCCAGCTGGGAACAAAGATGTGTTTACATGCGGGGGGGGGGGGGGGGGGGGCGGGGGGCGGTAAAGGAATGCTGAATTTAGAGTTGCCTTTGCTGTTGGCTGGGGGCGGGCCAGTTGTCAAGGAGGGAGCAACCTGGGGGTCTTTTAAGTTTAAAATGTTTCTCAGGGAGTCACAGGGGATGATAACAGTGAAACTATCAAAGTCAAGCCTTAGTCTCTCTTAGGTATATGTGCTTATTTTTGTGGCCATGATAGCAGGGTGCACTTGAGAAGACAAACCAGAATCCCCACATTAGACTCGTCTCTGGCGTCCTTCCACTTCCTCTAGCACGGGATCTACCTGGCCCTGCTCCCCAGATATGCTCAACTCCCCAAGGCCCCAAGTTGCCAATCCCATGCCAGTCTCCTTGGTAAGTGTAGAGTCCATAGCAGCCCAAGAAGCTGGGGGTAGACTACTTAATGGTTCACAGGGATGGGCCAGTCTGTGGGCCAGACTTGACATGTGTTATTTCATTTAAGACTCCCTAGGAAACCATAAAAGAAGAACTATTATCCCCTCCATTTACAAAGAAGCAATATTAACACTCAAAGAAGTCAGGTAATGGCCAAGGTCACCCAGCTGGTAAACGCAGATGGACTGGAGAACCCAGGTTCCCTGTGGTCCTTTTCTGGGATGGGACAAGACAGCCATGGGATCGTGATAAAAGCTGTAGCTTCCATGTTCTCTTTATTGGGAAGCAGATCATAGCTTGCATTTAACCTTCTGGGATCCTCCAGGCTTTATTCTTGTTGTTGGATGCTAATGATCACTTCTGGTAAATGGTGAGATGGATGGGAAAAGCCGAGGCGCTTTGATTGCAGCTGGAGTCTGGCTGAAGTGGGACAGGCATGTGGCAGTGATCTGAGAGGGATTTCCTACAGGCTGAAGATGTGTGGTGCCAAGATGCAGCTGTTCCCAGTGCCCAGAGTCTCTCTCAGTTTTCTCTGAAAAGAGCCTTCACCTTCGAGAATGTTCATTACCTTGAGCAACCTAATTAGAGCTGTACGGTGAGCTTGAACTTAGAAAACCTTGCTTTTCAAGTCTGAATGGAGCAGGAGGCCACAGGCTTGGAATAGTATGTAACAATCTGAGCGGCTCAATTTTAGGGCTTATCTGGAACCCTAGAACTGCCATGTGTGGTCAGAAGAATTAGACTATGATATAACCAGATGTCTCATGTGGCTAGAAGCTCCTAGACCCCAGAGTGGCCAGGGACTTTGGGCACTCTGGTGGCACTAGGTGATTTTATATCACATTGATCCAGATGTGGAGGGCTATGCTCTTTCCTGGTTGCTTGATGATCAGAAATCAGGAGACTTAATTTTGCTTTCTCCAGGTGTTAGAGCTAGTCTCCTGCTCTCAGTCTCTGTCTTTCTGTCTGTCTCTCTGTCTCTGTCTCTGTCTCTGTCTCTCTCCCACTCCCACCCCCTCTCTCTTTTGTTGTTCTTTGTGGGCCTGGGAGTCTGGCTGGTTGCTGACCCACTTGGAAATCTCACTGTTCTTGCACCTGGGCAGGCACCAACCCAGGCCAGTCCTTCACATTCATTCCTGGAGCAGGGCTGTGCTGAGCAGATGTGCCTCCTGAAGGAGACTCCAGCCATCTCATTTGTAGTCTAGGCAAGTCCCTTAACCCGACCAGCCCCAGGTAATTACCTGGAACCATCCTCCCTATCACAGCTTGTTGCCAGGTGTGTGGGTGTGGCAGCAAGCCAGGAGCCAGCTTCTCCACTCTGCAGCTGCAGAGGCAAAGGCCCGATTCTCCCCTGGCTCTACTTCTACATTTACAGCCAACATTAGGGAAGAGCTGTATTTTTAGTTTTTAGTTTTTGTTTTCTTAACTCGCTGATTCCGAGCTTTCAGAGGAAACACAGAACAGAGCTGGGTCCAGAGAGTGTTCTGTTCATATTTAATCCTTGCTCCACCTTGGCCCTGACTTCTGGCTAGACAGGGATTTACTTCAGGAATTGTTCCTGCGGTTTGACTTCTGATTCTGGCTCCAGTACGAAAGGAGGCTTGTGACATTGTTTAGCACACGTTTCTGTTCAAGACACAGAGAACAACAGTGAATTAAACATTAGATCAAACACGGTCAGGGTAGGGTTTCTACTCTAGTGGGATAGGAGGCAAATCAGATTAGTGAGATACGTATGTGATGGTCTCCTTGGGTTTGTATAAATGATATATGAGGACTGCGAAGGAGAGAAAGTAAAAAGCAGAGAAGGGAGGGATGAAGTGCTTCTGGGGAAAGGAAGTCAAAGGCTGTCAAAGAGAAGAATGACATCCAGTAACACCATCCGCGTTTGGACCAGGCTCCTGACTTCTCTACGCCAATCTCCTTGGCTTTATCACAGGGTCATGCTCTAAGTGTATGGGAAGAAACCAAGCAGTGTTTGGAATAAAACAGTCAAGTACAGTCTCCACTCACAGCATGGTGATGATGGGATGGCGATGCTTCAGAGGTAAGTTACAGAGCCTTGGATCGAGACTGGCTCTAGGAAGTACCTCAGCACGCCTCGGTTCTTTCACTGGGTCTACTTTCCTTTGGTTTGCTGTCAGATTCTAACCTCAGCAGAGGAATATTTCACATGCTTATGCCTTTTTTCCTCTTTAAATAACACTGAAAGTACTGTTATGTAATGAACTGAAAAAAAAGGAGGGGCAGTGGAAGAGCAGAGAACCTTCTATTACCTACACCTACCCCCCTTCAGTCTCTGCACTTAAAGGCAGATCAAGAGCTATCAAGTTTTGGCTGGATCCCAACCCTGAAGTAGCCCTGGGATTACTTTGCTGTGTGTCATTGGGCAAATCGAGTCACTTTTCTGGTTTCTGTCATTGTATATATATTTAGCTCTCAAGGCCAATGAGCTTTAGGGTTTATTATGCAATTGCACACTACTTAGTCAAATGGTAATGACAATCAGGAGAGGAATGGCTCTCTGGTCGACACCAGACGGGCAGAGGGAGTCAGAGGTTCACTGCTTTGGTGGTCTGGTTTTTCACAAAAAGACACTGAACTTGTATTTGACGTTCAGATTGGGTTGGTTGATCTTAATTGCTAACTTGATGGAAGAGAGAGAGAGAGAGAGAGAGAGAGAGAGAGAGAGAGAGAGAGAAGAGAATACACCTTAGGGCATATCTGTGAGGGAATTTCCAATGAAGTGTAACTAAGGAGAGAAGACCTACCCTGGATATGGGCCACACCAGTCCATGGACTCAGGTCCCAGAATGAATACAAAGTAGAAAGTGAGCTGAGCTCCAGCGTTCATCTCTTTCAGCTTCCTGATTGCCGATGCAGTATGATGAACCATCTCATTCATCTACTGCCATGCCTTCCCCGCTCATTCATCGCCATGCCTTCCCCGCCATGATGGACCATACCCTCAAGCTGTGAACCCAAACAAGCCCTTCCTAACTTAGTTGCTTTTCTGGGGTATTTTGTTACAGAAATATAAACAAGCACTCTGTTTAATATGCCCTAATTACTTCCAATGGAATCTTCTAGGGCTCCAAGGGCTGAAAAGCCAGAGATTTCTTTCAGATCTTCAAGAATCGAGGAAGGTGGGGCTCCAAAGCCTGGAAAAATCAGACAGGTGGCATCTGGATTTCTATGTGAAAACTTCTTTAAAATGCCATCTACATATTCAGTTACATCGACAAAAACCCAGTGAGTGCATGGACCAAATAAAAGTGTCTGCTCTGGCTACTTTGTAGACTGGTCCAGCCGTTATGTAGATGAAATGAGTCTGCTGCTCCGATCCTAAGACAAGACAGATGGTCTTCAGCAAGGCTGTGCAGCTGAGACTTCTCAGAAGGCAACATGCTGATCATCTTGGATGTAAAGCAGCTGGCGAGGAGGAGCCAGAGAGTCAGCACAGGGCAGTTCGCCAGTGCGTTTTCACCTCCACCCTCTCATCCAGCTCTGAGACTAGCATAACCTATGGGTTGTTTCATGTACACGGCAGAGGAAGGGTGTCATGAGAAGTGTTGAAAAAGATTTTCTAGGGAGAGGGCATGATCCACAGCTGTAGAGCGAGGATACGAAGAACACAAAAACCTCAAACGTTTCAGAGTCTGGACTGTGTCACTCACTATGAAAGGTGGCGCATCAAATTATCTCCCAGTTCTTTGGGTGTTTGAATATTTCTCCTTCTTCAGGTTTCAGCTCAAATACCTCTTCCTCAGAGAACTTTGCTGGAGAGGATGTCCTCTCTGAGGAAGCCTGACTTTCCTGTCTCTGAACCCTACTCTTCTCTCCCACGTATTAATATCTATAAAGGATTGTACTTTTTAAAGGGCTAGCTCCCCTTATGAAACACAGACTCCACGAGGGCAGAGACTTCATACCCTGTAGTTGCTCAACAAATATGTTGAGTATTTCTAAATATCTCTGTGAACGGGTTTTGACCAATCCTTTAAATTTCTTTGGCCTCTTACACTATTAACACCATTGTAAGGATGAGGCGAAATTGCATTTCGAGAAAGAAATGTTTATGAGTGAAAAACCAGTGCGCTTCTTGAACCAACTGCGGGGACCGCTTGAAAATTATCTGCAAAGGAACCAAGCCTATTTTTAAAGATCCCTGCGCCTCGCAGCTCTAGGTGATGACATCAGAGAACCCGGAGTTCCACGTCCCAAGCCAAGCCTCGTGGTCCTCGAAAACTGCAAGCCCCAAGATGCAGCGCGGCCCAGGGACCCAGCGCCCCGCGCGCGGACGCGAGCCACCGCCCTAGAACTAGGAAGACGCCCGATTCCTTTGCCCGCCACGCCGCCGGGCGCGCGCGGAGCCTGCCGGGACTTGTAGTGCCCGCGGCTGGGAGTGCCCGCTCCGGAATCTCAGTCGCCGTCTGGTGGGGTAGAGGCGGCGCGTGCACGCGTGCGCAGTGCGCGGGCGGGCCGTCGTGGGCGCCGCTCCCGGCAGCTGAGTGCCTGAAGGAGCCGGGTCCGCGGCGGCGCGGGTGCTCCGGGCGGAGGCCGCGGTAAAGTGGGGCGCGAGGCGCGCAGCTCGGGTGTGGGTGTGTGGAAAGGGAAAGCGGGGCGAGGGACGCGAGGCTGAGGCGAGTGTGAGGCGGCCACCGGCTGCAGAGGGGGCGCGGGGCCGCGCCTCGTCCGTCGCACGTCCGCGGGAGCGCGTGCACCTGGGCGAGGCCGGGCTCACCTGTGCACGGGCTCCTTTGCGCCCCGCGGCCCTCCCTGCGGGTCCCCGCCGAGGCCCACAGCCCCTGGTGTCCTCGCTCTCGCCGCCACGGCTCGGCCCCTGTCCGGGATCCCGGTGACGACGCCTGTCGGAGCGGCGCGGCTCCTGGGCCGTGTCCGCCTCATCCCTGCCGCTCGCTCCGGTACAGCCCGGCTTCCCCGCGTGTGCGGACAGCGGGTGGCGAGATTGGGAGTGCCTCGGGCAAGGTCACGCGGGTGGGACCCGAACCCGGGGCTCGGGACTTGGAGGAGGGTAGCCTCGGGGGCGGGGGCGACTCTGGCCGGCTGGGGGTCCCTTTCAGATGCTTCCTGTGGACCCTCCCGGGAGAGCGCCCGGGAAGAAAGTGGTGTCAGGTTGAAAGCGCCCTGCTGCTGGTGGTGGTGCTCCGCCTTTGCTCGAATCCCCGTTCTGCTACGACACCTAGGCGAGGGCCAAGTCAGTTCAGAAAGTGACTTGCTGTTTGGGGTCAGGTCCCGAGGACAGGTTTAAGGAACAGGTGGTTTATGGCATTTCGTTTTCGAGTTCGCCTTCCCATCCTTTCTAATACTTGCTTGGACGAGTTGACTGTTATCTGTTTTAATAAGATTTTCTGTACTCTGATGAAGTCGTTGCCCTTTGTAAATTAGTTTTCTAACTAGAAAAGCTTATTTCCTGTGTGCTTTATGACCGGAACAAATAGCCCACTCCAAGGTTTATACCATTGTCTTTTTTTTTTTTTTTTTTTTTTTTTTTTTTTTTTTTTTTTTTTTTTTTTTTTGGTTTTTCGAGACAGGGTTTCTCTGTGTAGCTTTGCGCCTTTTCCTGGAACTCACTTGGTAGCCCAGGCTGGCCTCGAACTCACAGAGATCCGCCTGGCTCTGCCTCCCGAGTGCTGGGATTAAAGGCGTGCGCCACCACCGCCCGGCTTATACCATTGTCTTTTATCTTAAAACTGTAGAGCAGTTTGCTTTATTTCCCTCCTAGGAGCTAGCGTGCATGCTTTCTGCGTTGACTGCCACTGGAAGAATCTCCTGCGAAGTTTAGGAGAAAGTTCAGTGACTCAAGCTTTGCGGGTAAAAATGAAAAACCATTTTTAGTTTACAGCTGGAGTTGAGGAACTATTATTTCAGAAATAGTAACATGCATTTTGAATCCAGTGCGTGCGTCTTAGTTTTTCTTACCAACACACTTGTGGCAAAGCATTTTCCCCTCAAATTTAAATATTCCATATTTTGTACTAACTCTCTTAGGGAAAGTTAATTTTTTTTTAAGAGCAGGGATACGTTTAAACAAGATATTAAATCAGGCAGAATTCAAATTAATAGTTTATTTTATAGTGTTATAAACCCTACAGTGTGTCAAATGACGTTTCTCCTGAAAAACCCTGTGTGGATGGACATACTGTGAATGTGCTTGTAGTAAAGCCACTGCAGGGAAGCGATGTGGACATGTTGCCGTCTATCTCCCTTATCCTGTTCTCTAACAGTTTCACTGTTGCTGCTGGGGGAAGAGGAGCAGGTTTGTATCTTTTTTTCTGTCTGGGTGTAGCAGTGTAGCAAAATAGGAAAGAGGTGCTGTGTACATCTGTTTGGTGGAGACTGAGACAGTGGGACAGGATAAGTATACAATTGTGAGGAAACGGCCATGAGTTCATGAGCAGGAAGGACCTTTTTAGAAGTATTTAAGGATGTTAAGAATAGCATTGGATTCTTTTCTTTAAACAGTTGTTGTGGGCAGTATTCAAAGATGGGATAAGATGCTGTGGGCAGTGCCCAGGAAGATACTCAAGAAACATAGAAACTTACATCTTTATGTGGACTTTTCTACTGAAAAACTGACTTCTGGGCCTAAGGCTGAATGAAAGTTCTTTACTATTACATACCTAGTCAGATTGCAAATCCCACTTTTTCCCCCTGTATAATTTGTAAGCCAGAAGGAAATCTAAGAAATAATTTATGAGGATGATTTAAGTGGGACTTTGTCATGGGCATGCACTTGTTCTTGTCTGAGTAGCTGTCGTGTAGAATGAGGAAGATGGCTTTTTGGTAGACTGTAGTGACTGGACAGATGTGCTAGTAGCGGCTTTGCTGTGACTGAAAAGTTTCAAGAGCTGCGGTAGTGATGCTTTTAAGCACCCAGAGGACGCCAGCTGTTAGCTGAAGATACACAAATAATCACCTTCCATATGCCCAAGCAATACATTTTTTTTTTGGCATATCAAGACTTATTTAAAATTTCAAAAATTATTTCAGATCTACAGTAATGAAATAAGATTGGTTCAGTACGAGAGGAACATCAAATTTTAGTTTTATTTTAATTTATTCATTTATTCCGACTATTTATGAGTATGCAGCAGATTGACTTGTGTATGAAATTACTTCATGTGGCAGAAACATTAAGTAGCTTTAGATGTTTGCCTATAATACTCAGTTGTTTTCAGAAATACTTGCATGGAATGTTTTCATATAAGAAAAAGACAACCCGTTCATCCCTTTAAACTCAACACTTGGGAGGCAGAGGTAGGTGGATCTCTGTGAGTTCCAGGCCAGCCTCAAGACAACCAGACTCAAGACAACCAGACTCAAGACAACCAGACTCAAGACAACCAGAGCTACATAATAGAAAGAACTTGTCTTTAAAAAAAAGAAAGACATCCTGCTGATAACTTGCTTCATAACTAGGGCTCTCTCACAATTAAAGAGTAACTGACCAATTCAAGAATTAGTAGTTTTCCTTGTAGGTTCTATGTGATTCCTAGAATATATTTAAGTGAACATTTGTTTGATGAGCCATTGGACAAATTGAATAGCTTTGATTTTAAATGATAGTGTTTTGGCAATTTTTATACCACACTTTCTTTGAACTGGAATTTTTCTTGAATGTAAAAGAAAATTAGAGTCATTTAGAATTTGAGTGTTTTTTAGAATAAAATACTGTTTCCAAATAAAACTCTTAATTTGACTTGTCAGTCTGATAGCTTTACACTCCAAAAGTTGTGATAATACCCTTAGGCAACCTTGCTTCTTATAGCTTAACCAGTGAGTTCTTGGTTCTGGATTCTGTTTGTCCTCTTCTTGAAGAAAAGAGAGTTGTTAGCAGTGCCAGAGTTAGGAGTGATCTCAGAGGACTTCTGATGCAGCTTTTTAGCAGGTACAGTAAATCCTCCCTGAGAATTTCCATGTCAGGAAATTCCCATTACTAAGGGTAGTTATGCAGGTCCATTATTAGATTATTGAGAAGTCTGAGCTAGTGACAATAAACGTAAGACAGTTTTAATGTTCACTATTTTCAGTCGTGTTTGAAGATCTTTCTCTTTCCCTCATATCCCACAAGTAAGGATAGTTTTTCTATCAATACAGCTATTAAAAGCTCAAATCAGAGCTGGGTGTAGTGGCATACTCCTTCAATCCTAGCACTTGGGAGGCAGAGGCGGGCAGATCTCTGAGTTCCAGGATAACCTGGTCTATATAGTTCCAGGACAGCCAGAACTACATAGTGAGACCCTGTCTAGAACTCCCCCCACTCCCTCAAAAAGCTCTAGTCTAATCTATTCCAATTTAAAGCATCAGTCTGATACTCAGTTTAGAACTCATTTCCTCTCTTACCCAGAGTCTGACTGCTCTTGGGATGCAGAGGGATTGCTGTTTGCTACTCTGTAACCTTTTGCTGTTTCTCTTTGGGGATCTGCTTGGATAGGGACTGGTCAGAAGACTAGAAAAATGCACTTATTCCTTATCTGTTTCTCCTTAATGGTGGCTGGTCTGAGACACAAGCTGGTATTTCCGGTGAGATTTTGTACTCCCTATGGCACAGTTTTGGTGTATGAAATTTCTGTGGCCAAACCTTTTCCGTTCATCACCAGCTTGTTCCCTGTCGGGATGAAGAGGGTTAGGAATCCTTTTCTCTGTAGTCAGGTTTTTTGATAACGCCAAGACCACTTGAGTACCGGTATGCCTACAATTGCCACACAGTCCACTGGAAACTCACTTCTTTGCTTGTAGGCTGCCCAAGACTGCCTTTCTGTGCCCTGCTGCTTTTATTAAAAAAAAAAAAAAAAAAAAAAAAAAAAAATTTTATGCTCCATTCTCATTGTTCCCTTGCTCAGGGAGGCAGAGTCTGTTGCTTGGTCTCTTATGTAGGCTGAAACTGAATTGGAAGATGCAACACCAGTCTCCCTGTCTCCTAGGCATTCCAAGTTGTAGTGAATAGAATATCTTGGAGACCCCTACCACTATTATGTGGTGAACACTTTCTGTCTTGTCTTGTTCTCCCTGAAGACGTGGAACACTTCTTTTCTCTCTCGCTCTGTCAGTTGCTTCTATTGAAGAAAAGGATGTTAAGGTGGTACTCCGGGTGCTGAGAGCTAATGTGACAGGTAGGTGAAAGCCATGCCTAACTGTACAGATGTCTGTACAGTGTAGACTCTTTGTCCACAAATTGAGCCACCCATAGATTGAAAGGATTTCATCTGTTCTAAGCATGCACAGGTTTTTTCATGTCATATTGTTATATTAACACTTACATATCTGTACACGTGCATTTATATGTGTTCAGTGTTGTGAGTAATCTAGAGGTGCTGTGCAGCAGAAGGAGAAGGCATGTGAATTATGTGGAAATACTGCACCACTTCACATAGGCCTTGAGCAGCACAGACCTTGGTGTCAGTGGGGGTCCCGAAACCAATCCCCGTGGGTAAGGGAGAACAACTGAATGTTTCTGCTTTGTCTGTGTGGGATTCTGTTCCTTAGAGCACCTGATTAACCAATACTATGACATTCTGTGGAGGTCTTTCAGTATAACATT